GAAGAAGTATTCACAACCAAAACATAAACCACAGCAAAATAACCATCAATAAGAAGACAAATATCATAAGTCCGAGAAAATTTAACCAATAAAACAGTGAGCTGAGAGTAAAAAGCAGATAACATGACACAAAAAGAAAACCCACAATATGCCACATTGAGTTTCTAAAGCAGTCAATTTAAGTACTCAAATATCCAAATGCAAAATGATATGATTGAACTACACGTATTTGGAAAAATATATATATGCCCCGAATACCAGAATTGACAAATCTATCAACTAAATTGGGATATTGAAAAAATAAGACATTGGGAAACAATAACTATTCTGGCTCACATTTCACTCGGTAAACAAAATGTGATTAAATTTTGCAGAGGAACTTAATAATGTACTTGAGGAGCTATGCATATAAGAAATGAACAATGCCAATATAATTGATAGCCACATGCGACAATTCCAATGAATGCCCCGAGACTATAATTTAGTACTTAGCCTGTAATTGCAGTTAGTACTCTGTTTGATTTTCTCTTTACTCAACTATATACGAAGTCCAGAGAAGTTAAATCAACATATGCTAATTTAAGGGTGTAATATTCCAATTTTCATTAAATTGATAGTTGTGAGAGAAAAAATAATTAATTAATATGTAATATATAATATTTTATCTTATTGATTATTTTAATATTTTTTATTTTTATTGACTATTTTAGCCAAAATCTATCATCCCAAACATATAGACTCAAACTCCCCTAAAAACTTAGAAATGCACATGAGAGAGAGGACTGGGGCCACTGTTTTGTTTGGGAAGTGTTGGATTGGAGATGATAACAGTGAATGGTTTGTAAGAAAAAGTTGAAAACCCTTGAAAGAGAGAATAATTCCTTCATGGAGCCAAGGGGCTGTGAACTGTTACTCACTGTTTTAGATAATTCAAAGTATACAGATTTTGGATGCAAAGCTAAGGGTCATAAGCGGCGCAAATAAATTATTTTAGCCAAATAAATAAAATAAAATAAAAATAAAGAAAAAAGATTCACACTCTACCCTATATCAGTACACGATATAATATAGTATAAAAATTATATAAATTTATAAATTTTATAAATATATTGACTTTTTTTTAATAAAAAAAAATCAACAAAAGAAAAGTTTCTTGATGAAAATTGCAGATATACAAAGAGAGTGTACAATATACAGATACATCAATAAGAAAATCCATAGATAAATGCATCAAACTGAAACACAAATGAAAGACAAATTAGAATAAAAATATTAACTAAAAACTAAAAAATACGAAAAACAAAACACATCGTTTTTAGAAAACTGAAACCAAACACACTGATATTTTCTTTTTTTTTTTTATTGCTGCTCAATACATTAAAATTTTTCTACCAAAATTGGTGACAACATTATTTTCTCACCAAAAGATCTCAAAAATATTTGGTGACGAAACTTATTTTTTTTCTCACCTAAAACTAAGTATTTATTGACGGAAATAAATTTCGTCACCTATTATTTTTATTTTTTTATTATGCGTGACAAAATTTATAATTCCTCATGGATTATTCTTGTTTAGTGACGAAATTTGTTTTCTTTACTAATTTTCGCCACCATACCAATACAGAGAATAAGAGAAAGAGACACCCAAAAAAGAGGAAAGAGAAATCACGTACCAAATCACCAAGCGAAGAAGATGTGGAGGTTACCGGCAAGGCTACTAGTGGCGGCGACGATAGGCAAGGCTAATAGAGGCGACGATGGCGATCAGCGTGGTGGAGGAGCAAGAGGTAAGACAAATTAATACCCTATTTTGAGAGAGAGAGAGATAGAGATGATAAACAGAAAAGGGGTAAAAAAAATTAATACCCTATATTTTTTTTAATTGCCGCTCAATATATCAAAAAATTTTCACCAAAATTGGTGACAATATTATTTCCTCACCAAAAGATATCAAAAATATTAAAACGTTTTGGTGACGAAAATATATTCCTCACAAATAATTTTATAATTAGTGACAAATTTTTTTCTCACCAAAAGTCCCAAAATTTTGGCGCCACCCAAAAAAAATAGCGGGAAAATTTTTGGTGACGAAACTTAATTTTTCCTCACTTAAAATGAAGTATTTATTGACGAAAATAAATTTTGTCACCTATCATTTTTATTTTTTTATTATATGTGACAAAATTTATAAATTCCTCACGAATTATTTTTATTTAGTGACGAATTTTATTTTCTTCACTAGTTTTCGTCACCATAGGTTACTTTTGTTGTAGTGATATGAATGAAATATAATTATATTTCACTTATGTTTTACATATCTTTTCCCAATCATTTTTTAAATTTTCCTTCAAATTTATAAACGAAACACAACATTAGCCTTAGAGGGGCGCGGTGGGAGGGTACATATTCCATCTGTTTCATTTTGTTGTGTTCTATGATTTCAGTTTTTTATTAGTATTTGTAGCTTTTCTTCTCGGATTAATTAAGTTATTCTTTGAATATGCATTTAATTCATCACATCCTTTTAATTTGTTTAGGTGTTGGAGAATTAATTCAAGAGTGGATATGGAACATTATTGCTTTGAGAAGGTGCTCTCTCACACAGATATTACCCACACCTTGGAGATACCAAACGCGGCAACTCATTTACCTGGTCACAACAATGCCATCATGGATGTGTGGGATAATGGTGGAAGACATTGGACCCTTCAGATGACAATAAAGAGAGATGAGAGAAAGGCCTTGAAACAAAAAGAATGGCTTCGTTTAGTAAGGATTAATGAACTGGAGGAGGGTGAAACAGTGAGGTTTTACTACATTCCCGCTCGCAATTCATACTCTGTGGAATTTAAAGGCCCTAACCGCGTCTAGGCTCTGCAGCTCTTTCCTCTTAACTAAGACAAGGACTCAAGGAGGAACCTGCAACAAGAACAACATGTTTTTATTTATAATAAGTTTATGTAACATGATGTATGTGTGCTTTTTTTATCTAAGAAAAAAAAAATCTAAGTGCATGGAAGATTGATGTCAGTTCTTGTTGATGAGTCCAACCAATTACTGTATTATCAATCAATGAATCTGCTTATGTATCCTTTCTATTATCATATCCTATAAATCAACGTTGTGGGAATTAGTGTAACTTTTTTTCTTCTGTTTTTTTTTTTTTTTTTTCTTTTTCAAAGTTCTACGTACATGTTTGCACAAACAATAATTATGAATTAGTGGGGAACGTCACTTGTTTTCATCATTACAAGAAATGAGCTTTTTAGGGACAAATTTGTTTCGTTCCTAAAAGTATAATATTTGTTGGGAAAAACTTTTGCCAACCAATTTCCTTCGTCTCGAGGTTTGTCCCAAATGGCCCGTCCGGAAAAATCAAAAAATGACTTTTAGAGACAAAATTTTGCATTTGTCACTATAAATAGACTTTTAGAGAAAAAAATATGTGGTTGCAAAAAGTTTTGATTTTGAGACAACCAAAATTTGTCTCTAAAAGTCTAATTATAGTTCAACAATCGGAGTAGTTATGGAGACAAAAATTAATTTTTGAGACAACAGAAATTGGTCTCTAAAAGTTTTTTTTTTTTGGGACAAATGAAAATGGTCTCCAAAAGTTTTACTTTTTGGAACAAATGGAAGTGGTGTATAAAAGTTATAATTTTTTTGAGACAACTAAAATTGGTCTCTAAAAGTTTGATATTATTTATTTATCTAGTATTATTTTATTTTTTTTGCAACAATTACTCTAAAAATACTAGTATGAACATCAACTTATATTCCTTTCTTGATTTCTAAACAACCAAACAGAAAATATCAAACATATCACCAGACCATTTGTTCATCTCCAAATACAACAACCAAACAGAAAATATCAAACATATCACCAGACCATTTGTTCATCTCCAAATTAAAATTCCACTACACGAAAAAAAAAATGCTCATCACATTCAAAGAAGCTTAATCAAAAGATATTTCAATAACAAACAAATACCATGCTCTGATTCATTAGTATGTAATATTTTGATTGTATATCATAAACTGACAGAGATTTCAAAAGTATGATTTCCAATTTATAAGGTTAGTACCATAAGCATTGTTTGTAGCATTCAACTATTCAACAGATTGTAATTGGAGTTATATCTACCTACATAACAACACAACTCAACTCATTGCATCTTCTTCTCAATAGCTTTGTTGAAATGGCATTCAAAATCTAGCAAAGAGCTCCCAAGCTTCAAATCGACGCAAGCTTGTAGGACCTGCATAGAATAAGCCAAACTCTCAAATAGATTACCAATTAAAAATTATCTAATGATAGATTAATTTAATAGATTGCAATTTAATGTGCCAATTGTAGTATCTGTAGCAATCACACATAAATCTTAGCACACAAAGCCGCCCAAAATTCACTATTAATATTCAAGAGTTAACAAAGATTAAACTAAATCAACTTGCTACAAAAATTTGAAAATAATTATTCCAAAGATAGACACAGTTTACATTGATGTTGTGAAAACAAGATGAAAAACGGTTACCTATTTACTCCTCAACTCAGTCATCAAAGCAATTTTGAGCTCAATTGGAATTAGTAATCTATTTAATTTCCAGACCTAATCTCAAAATACATGGACACTTTTATGGTGTTTGCTCTATTTCTGAAGCCTCTTATGTAATCAAAGATATTAGTCACCCAGAGAAAAGCCATATCCTTGTAAATATTTTCAGCTTCCTCTTATTTCAATGTCATATATAATCAACAATATATTAATAATGAACAGACCAATATCACAATCCAGAATGGTCAAGTAATATAAGCAAAAGTCAACCAACAATCTAGTGCTTTAATTATTAATTCCAAATATAAAAAAAGCAACAATCTGGACTAGGTTCTCAACAATATTGATTGAAATTCAGCAATTAACAATCATGGGTATGTCAAAGAAAACAATTAGCATTTGAAGAATTAACAAACCTTGGTTTGGAATTTGGTTTTGGGAACATCGGTGCATTCGGGCCGAACCTCAGAAAGAATCAGCAGGAGTTCCAGCATCCCTCCACATTTTTGAAAAACCACAAAACACCTTAAGAACTCAAAACCCACCTGAGTCAGCTCAATCAAACCCTAACCCTGTACGCAACTAGAGCAGGCTTCGTGACTTCCCACGTCCTCTCTTACCCTTGGATGTGCCTACTAGAAACAATGAAAAAGTATCATGTTAATATATAGATTGAAAAGACGAGACCACCAACCAAAACAAAACATAAACTTAAAATATTTACAAACCATCAGTGCTGGAATGTGTGCTAGAAGTATCCGAGTGTGAAACTTGTGACGTAACTTCATGTACCGATTCTGATGTAAATGGGTGCAGCGTAGATGATCGAACTGATTTAATGGATGCATGAAGTCCAGGTGTTGATTGAGTGGTTGAACGAACTGATTCAGTGGATGCATGGGGTGTAGGCGCATGGGGTCTAGGTACATACCCTGCTCGTCATCTGCCTCTTGTGGACATACCTGTTGAGAAGCTGAGGGCATATATATCATATATTTCTACATTGCATATATACTTATGCATATATATTACTAGACAGTATATACCATTAGATTTAGTACAAGTAACCAGAAATTAAGCAGAATCATGCAGTGCATAAAATATTGAAAACAGATATAAAATTGTTGTGGGGTGGTAACAAAGGAAACTGAGGCGATTTCCGGAGTTGGTCCATAAAGCTTGTCATCATCAGAATGCCAAGATATAACATGCAGAGTTTTTTGTAAGAAGTGTGCTAGGTTCCATTTTGTTCAAGTGAAATTATTTCAACAGAAACTTCAAATTCTGTGTAAAAATCATAATAGAAAATGAAAATTCGCACACCCAATGAACTACATAGGATTACATATATCTTACCAACAAAAATAAAATAAAATTAATTAACAGTAGTACAACTAAGCACATGGTACAAACCTGCGCTCCTTTTCCGCAAGAGTATGGTCTAAGATGACACTATAAGCCAAGTCAGTCGTTGCCAGTGCTGCAAGATAGTCCTGCCATTAAGAAAGAAAAATAATTACATTTGATAACATCCCAATAGATCTTGTCCAAGTTTCACTGCCAATCAGAAGTGTCATTAGATGGACAAATCATATAGTGGATTATGCACAACGCAAGTTACCAGATGCACATTTCTTTACAATTTCCCTTTTACTGCAGAATTGAAACTGCTACTGACCAACTCACTTACAGCCCTCAAGACTAGCTCTCAAAATAAAGGAAATACATAAATTATAGTACACCTAACAAGAACAAAGTTTTCACAGATTTGCCAAACTGCCTCTGGTTTAAGTAATTCAATTGCCCAAATTAGTCAACATTTGGAAACATTAAATGAAACTACTACAACTCTTAACCACACAGAATAACAGGGTTTTGCAGAGTAATCATTAATTATACATTAGCATTCATGCAAATATGTTACTCCTGTGGATTCATCATCACTCCTTAGTCCCAGACTTCCAGTTAAGCATAATTGCAAGGAGACCTTTTCGCAACTAATATTCAAAGATGCAAAATATCCTTAGTAAAATGGCACATTCAGTAAATAACATCAAGTAGATTTGTATAGATTTGTATTTTTGAAAAAAACAAATAAGATTCATATTGGCAATTCAAGAACTCTTCAACACATAGAAAAAGAACAACATTAATTTCACTCAACCTACATAACTGAAAGTATAAAAAAGGGGCATTTCCAACGAAATCAAACAATATATATAGAATTTCAAAAGCCTTAGAAAATTAAATAGTAGCAAATTATTTTTGGTTGACCTCAATTAAATAGATTAGCTAGGTTATCCATTGAAAAAATATTATAGATAATCTTCATTAGACAAACTTAATTAGTTATTTTGTAGTTAAATTGAAAGATAATGTTTATGGAATTTTAGATATATATATATATATATGGATTGTAATAGTGTAGCCTCGTAATAGTGTTCTAATTTTGTGTTCCATTTTAAGTTTGTGCATCTATGGCCTTTGACAGTTGGGTTGGGTATAGTCCTGATTCCTTTATTTATACCTTGCACATGCATAGGCATTGCATTGTAGGTCCAAATGCTTTGATATTCATTAAAATGTTTAACTCATGTTCCTTCATAGATAAAATTTTGTTGTTTTCCATAATCAAAATTATTTGGTCAACAATACAGTTTTTGTAAAGCTTTAACAAACACTAAAGTAAATCAATTAGATGTGGGTAGAGATGTGACTAAACACTATGAATCAAACTTAGGTTGCTTACAAAAGTAATATTAAACAAGTCTCTAGTATATTTGATCCCACATTAATGATGCTCTCAAGTCCTATATATATACCCTTGCTCTGTTAACAGAAACTGACTTACACCTAAAAGATGTAGTTTAGCGGATTACTAGGTGTGTAGAGCTGTGTTGAATAAAAAGTCAAAAAATTAATTAACTTTTCAAACCCAATTATTCTTAAAATTTTATATGAAAAAATTATTTCTAAACAACTTCTAATGTTAACAAGTACTTGAGTAATTATTTAATATTACAATTTTTGTAAAAGAAAATTTGAAAATAAAAAAAAAATAATTTAATAAAAAGTAATTTTCCATTCTTCATTTCTTTCCATTAATTTATAATTTGTATCCAAATTTATTTTCTAGTTGTAGTTTGAATGACTTCGTACGGTCTCAAAAGCTCTTCAACATTTACGTAAATGGATATTATTAATAAATGATAAATTTCAAAAATAATTTTAATACGCAATTCAGATACAATTTTCACTCTCAATTAAAAAGGGGAAAAAAAAAAAAGCTTTGGCAAATAGATTAAGGTATTCAATACTCTTTTATCAAATATTTTTTTTGTAAATACTCACAAAATTAGACATCAAACATAATTAAATCAAGTTCACAAATGTTGCATCAATAAGCAAGTCAATTTCAAAATAATACAAAATTAATCATAATCTTGTCCGTTGTGAGTAATTTCTTCCGCATTTTGATAAAGAGCATTGCCATTAACCCCTACCTTTCTTCTTAGAACCCTCACCAGATGTCTCTATTTACGCACCATATTTTATCTCAAGGCAAACCATTACTTAAGGCACACCCTTAATATTTTGATAAATAAATGTTTTACTTAATCCACACCATAAACTTTCATATTTACCCTTACTCACACACCCCACCCACAATCTGCGTCCTTGTTTACCTTCACTCACCCACACACCCCATCCACCCACGCACCCATGATATATCCATCACCCCCTCCATTCTCTGTTTCCATCTCCCCCAGATCCAACATTACTGCATTCTATGGATGCACATGTTTGGAAAAAGCCCAAAAAATAAAAAAATGTTATAAGTGTTCGGCAGTACAGAGTCGAATTAAATGAAATTGCTCGATGTTGGCCAAATATACGAGTTCGACTCTTACAAAACGAATACATTAAAATAGTCCGACCGTAGTATGTCGAATAAGTGCATTTTGTTCGACCGTAGTATGTTGAACAAATGCATTTTGTTCGACCGTAGTATGTTGAACAAGTGCACTTTGTTCGACCGTAGTATGTTGAACGAATGAACTTTGTTCGACCGTAGTATGTTGAACGAGTGCATTTTGTTCGACCGTAGAATGTTGAACAAGTGCATTTTGTTCGACCTTAGAATGTTGAACAAGTGCATTTTGTTCGGTTGTTGTTGGTCGAACATTCATTATGCTCGATTGTAGTTAATCGAGCAAATAATAAGTCGATCAACGATATAATGTGGCTCTGGTGAACCGAACTGTACAGCAAGGAGACGAAAACGAAAACAAAAACAACAACAAAAAAAAAAAAAAAATAACCTCTTCCTTGTTCCATTGTTGTGAATCAAAGTTGTCAGATTCATTCTTCATTGAATCCATTCAAAATCTTCAATAATATTATATTTTTGATTATTTGTTGAAGAATTTTTGGTTTTGATTTTAGGGTTTTTGTATTCTTAACAAAGAAGATACGTAAGGAACAAGTTTGAATTAATGATTTATATTATATTGATTCTTGTCCTTTATGGTAAATATATAAATGGTGTGTATTATAATTTGTCCTTAATAGTCATTTCATTTAAGGTTAAAATTGTAATAAAAAATAAATTGATTAATGGTTTGCCTTGAGAGAAAAGGTGGTGTGTAAATAGAGCCACCCCCCTTTGGGAGCTATAGCAATTCTGTAGCCAAAAATAGAAAATTTATTATGTGCCTGTTTGGGAAGTTGGTTTGGAGGTTTTTTGGATTAAAATAGTCACAAAAAATAAAATAGGTATTTTAGTCTAATAAGACAAAAAATCACATTGAATCTATAATCATTACATTATTTCTCTAAAAAAAAATCAAAAGTCCTTCTCAAATCAAGTTTTTTAGTCCTAAGCTAAAATAGCCAAAAAATCCAATCCACTCTTCAAACCAAACCTATGGTTCTTACCTGCTGTTTGATTTTGTTTCATATTTTTTTATTCATAAGTAATAATATAATAAGAAATAATAATATTAACGATAATAATAATTTTTTGTAAAGTAGATTAAAATTTTAGGGTGCGAAAAAAGATGAAGATAAAATAATTAATTTTTTTTAAAATATGAATAATAAATATAAATAATTAAGATATATCATGGGATTTAATGTATGTTGTTGTTATTAATAAATTTATATTAAAATATAATAAAAAATGAAATTTTAAAATTTTAATTCGAACTATTAAATGATTATTTAAATACAAATAAAATCCCCCATTTTCGTCTTTATATTTGTGACTTCAAAAAGGAATTAGGCTTAGCACATGGTGGTCAGTAAAGGGCCCACATGGGAGTTTGGGATGGAGCCCATACGTGAGTTTCCATTCTTTTATCCTGATTTTTTTTTTAATTTTTTTTTTAAAATTTTAAAAGCTTTTTTTTTCATAAAAATTATACTTTTTACGTATATTTATGTTAAGTGTGTTAAAAAATTTTAAAAATTATTTAAAATATGAATTTTTTTAATAAAAATTTTAAAATATAAGTTTTTTTTTTTTTTAAAAAGTGTTTTTGAAAAACAAGCCAGCAAAATGTTCGTATCTCTTTATTATTGTGAATTGTCCGTCCTGAACCCGGCCCGGCCCGGCCCGGCCCGATGAATGGGCACACCTGTCCGCGATAAACGCGTTGAGGCAGGAATCCGAAATAGATGATACGACAACGGTAGCAAAAGTGAAGTTGGAAGTATCTTTGAGCGAAGTGTTGGAACAACAATGGCGATTAGCAGAGTGAGATCACTACTGTCTCTTTCCAAATGCAAATGCAAATCCAAGTTTAACTTCACTTCCTCTCTCTTGCATTCATTTTCTTCAGTCACCAGATTCTCTTCATCCACT